GGTGAATGTTATCTCGCGCTTCCGGTTCGACGCACCGACATTTCGCGCACACCATCGCGGAGGACGTTCCTCCCGTCGGTGGTAGTTTCGTTTTGTAGAAGGACCGGGCACAAAGCATATGCTGCCCGCTGTCCACTCCATTTACTTCGCTACGTCATCTCTCTCTCGTTGCACGACCGGGAAAGATAACCGGGTAGCCGAGAGCAAGGGATCTATACATGGAATAGGGATACGTCGGATTGCTTGAAAAAAGTGAAACATGTTTCGTTCATATCGGCTGGTCACTGGTTTCACTTGAAGAGAATAGAGATGTTGAGACGTTGGAGATTTGATTCTGGTTGTACTTCGATCATGCTTGTGGATGTTGTTCGATCGGTGAGGTAGGTTGACTTTTTAATTATAATAATTCGTTGTAACTGTAACTGTAGAAATATAGTGAGTATTTAGTACTGTGTCCAGCCGTGCAGAAGATTGACATTCTGTAACAAATCCGGACTAATGAAATCCTTAATCTTATTGTTCAGTTTATCGAGCAACGTTTTATTTCTTTTATAATAATTTGACTATGTTATAATAATTTGACAATAACTTAATATTATTATTACAACTTGATAATAATTCAGTAATGAAATTTGTAAATTTAGATTTATTATTTTTTGTATAATCTCATATATCAGTAGTTTATTTTATATTCTTATATACTTTATACACTTTATAATTGTTACTATAAACTAATAATGTACCTATACTTAAATAATATGTACCTAAATAATAATTATACCAACCTATTAATAATATGTACTTAAATAATAATACTAAAATAATAATGTACCTATACTTAAATATATAATAATACGATAATAACACGATTCGATTTGATCGATGATCACGGTCATTATTATCAACGTAATTACTATCAATAATATAGAAATTATTTTAATATGAGGACATGAGAGAAAAAGGAATTTGTTTTTTGAAATTTTGAATTATAGGTATATTATAATACTGTTGACTATTGAATTGAAGTGTCGTGTGAATGTATAAAAATCTGTAGTCTAACGATTCACGATGATTCAATCTAGTTCCATTATTTGTTCTCATTAGGTTAAGCAATTTTACGATATTTTCATCTAAAACACGTACTTTTGAGATATTTTAAAATTCTGAAATCTGAATTGTCCTATATTTAGATCCCGAAGATCATATGTTTTGCAAATGTACAATACAA